GTTATTCCCGTTGCCAGGAAGGCGCCGTGGCCGCCCGCCATGAAGGCGTTCGTGCAGCGCTGCTTCTCGGCGTGCTCCTCGGAGGAGGACAAGGACCGCACGGAGCAGCTGCTCAAGGAGCTGCTCCAGGCCCGGCTGCAGGACGGCTCCGCCTACAGCATCGACTGGAGCCGGGAGCCGCTGCCGGGGTGCGCCCCGTTCCCCGCGGGAATTCCCGGCAGCGATTCCTGGCGGCATGCCCGAAGGGATTCCCTACCAGAATTCCCGATGAGGTTCCCAGCGGAATTCCCGGCGAGATTCCCAGAGGGATTCCCAAAGGGAGGCCACCATTCCTGGCAGGAATGCCCAGCAGGATTCCCAAAGGGAGGCTGCCATTCCCAGGGGAATTCCCAGTGGGAATTCCAAACCAAGAGTTCCGTTGGGAATTCCCAATGAGGTTGTCGAAAGGAGTTCCCGAAGGCAGGCTGCCATTCCCYGTGGGAATTCCCAACAGGATTCCCAATGGGAGTTCTCAATGGGAATGCTCAGCGGGATTSCCAACGGGAATTCCCAGCAGGAATCCCTGAGTCCCGACAAGATTCCCAGTGACGTTGCCCAATTCCCAAAGGGACTCCCCAGTTCCCAAAGGGAGGTTCCAATTCCCAAAGGGATTCCCCAATTCACAACAGAATTCCCAGCAGGAGGCCCCGAGTCCCAATAGGAATTCCCAGGGGGATGCCCCGATTCCCAAAGGGAGGCCGCAAGTCCTGAAGGAATGCCCCAGTTCACAATGAGATTCCCCRAGGGAGGCCCCGAGTCCCAACAGGATTCCCCAATTCCCGAAGGGGTGGCCCAGTTTCCAGTGGGAATTCCCCAGTTCCCAAAGGGATTCCCGAAGGGATGCCCTGATTCTCAAGGGGATTCCCAGAGGGATGCCCTGACTCCCARTGGAGTACCCCGTGGCCTTTTCCAATTCCTAGCGAGATTCCCCAATTCCTTTCAGGATTCTGCAATTCCGTAACCTCGAATTCCACCTGGAATTCCAGCATGTCTTTTCCAACCTTAATCATTCCATAATTTCTACCTGGATTCTTATTGGGAGTCTACAATTCCTCCATGGAATTCCATCTGGAATTACAGCATTTCCCGCAGGAMTTCCCCTTGGAATTCCAGCATTCCCTCCAGGATTCACACTGGAATTCCCACTGAAATTCCCTTGGGAATTCCATATTCCCCAGCAGAATGTCCAAAGACCCTTGTGAACTCTCAGAATTCCATGCAGAACATCCGAAGTCCCTGGGCGGTCCCAGAATTCCGTAGGGAACACCCAAAGTCCCTGCGAGTTCCCGGAATTCCTTATGGAATTCCCACCTTCCCGCAGGTTGGGCCGCGACAGCAGCCCCAAGAAGAAGCGCTGGGAAGCGGCGCATCCGGCATCGCCGTCGGCCGGCGCCGGCTCCGCGGCGGTGCCGCGCGGGATCCTCGGAGCGCCCCGCGCCGGAGCCTCCGGAGCGGCCGCGCGGCCCCGCGGCGCCTTCGGCACCAAGTTCGGCAACCGGAACGTTTTCCTCAAGGAGAACAGCTCCTCGTCCAGCGGCGGCTCCCGCTCCCGCTCCCGCTCCTCCTCCCGCTCGCCCGCCCACCGCTTCCGGCGCAGGTAAACACGCCGCCTTCCCGGATCCGGGAAACGCATGCCACATCCACGTGGCATTCCTGGATCCGTGCAACCCATCCCACATCCACATGGCATTCCTGGATCCGTGCAACCCATCCCATATCCCAGATTGGCATTCCCAGATCCCACATCCCAGTGGCATTCCCAGATCTACGCAGTGTTCCCAGACCTGTGTGGTGTTCACGGATCTGGGCAGCATTCCCTCATCGGGGAAACCCATCCCGTATCCATGTGGCATTCCCATATCCATGCGGCATTCCTGGATCCGGGAAACCCATCCCCCATCCACATGGCATTCCCGGATCCCCACAGTCCATTCAGGATCCCTGGGATCCACATTCCCACCTCTCCATCCCCATGTCTGCACAACRTTCCCATCTCCCCATTTCCACATGTCATTCCCACCTCCACGTTCCTCGTTCAGTGACATTCCCACCTCCATATTCCCATTTCCCCATCTCCAGATGACATTCCCACCTCCCATCTCCGCACAACATTCCCATTTCCATATGACATTCCCACCTCCCCATTCCCGCCTYCCCCCCCCATTCCTGGCTCCAGGCACCGCTCACTGCTCCCATCCCCCTTCTTCCGGCAGCGCTTCCCACTCGGATTCCGAGAGCTCCGTGTCGGGCGCCGAGGGCCGGGGGGGGCCGCGCCGGGCGCCCCGGAGCCGGGGACGGGGCGGCCACTCGGAGCGGGGCCGGGGCCGCCCGCCCCGCGGCAAGAGGTAACGGATCCCGGCCGAGATTCCCGGGAATGCCGGCGCGTTCCCGGGATCCCTGTGTGGTCCTGGGATCCCTGAACATTCCTGAGATCCTTGTGGAGCTGCCCGGGAATTCTGACACATTCCCGGGATCCCTGCATGTTCCTGGGATCCTTGTGTGTTCCCTGGCATGCCCACGCATTCCTGGAATCCCTCAACATTTCCTGGGATCCCTGTGTTTTCCCTGGAATCCCTGTGTGGTCCTGGGATCCYGGAGGAACTGCCCGGGAATTCCGACACATTCCCAGGATCTCTGCTTGGTCCTGGGATCCCTGAACATTTCCCGGGATCCCTGTGTGTTCTCCGGGACCCCTGAGCATTCCTGGGATCCCCGTGGAGCTGCCCAGGAATTCCAACACGTTCCCTGGGATCCCTGCGCGTTCCCGGCATCCCTGTGGAGCGTGCCAATTCCTGGGAATTCCGACGCATTCCCGGGATCCCTGTGTGTTCCGGGATCCCTGCACATTTCCCGAGATCCCTGTGTTTTCCCTGGGTTCCCTGCACATTCCTGGGATCCCTGCGCGTTCCCCAGGACCACTGAATATTCCTGGGATCCGTGTGCATTCCAGGGACCCCAACACATGTCCCGGGATCCCCCCTTATTCCTGCCCCCCCCACCATATCCCAAGATCCCCTCCCATTCCCACCCCACTTCCCAGGATCCCCCCTCCCTATTCCCACCCCAATTCCCGGTCCCCCCCCTCTTCCCGCAGGCAGGAGCAGGGCCCTTCCAAGCGGAACCGCAAGCGGCTGCCCATGGAATACGAGGACCCGGAGAAGGAATTCAAGAAGCAGCGGCGGGCGGCGCGATTCCAGGGCGGGAAGAAGCTGCGGCCGGAGCCGCTCGTGCTGCCGCTCGGAAGCGCCGGAGCCTCTGGAGCGGCCGCTTCCGAAGGCCTCGACTGGACGGAGCTGCAGATCCTGGGAACCTGCCAGGACGTCACCAAGCGCTACCTGCGCCTCACGGGAGCGCCGGATCCCGCCACCGTGCGCCCCGTGCCGGTGCGTCTCCCCCGGGGGAATTCCGGGAGAAGCGGGAGCGCGTTTTCCCCCGGGGTTATCCCGGCGTTCCGGCATCTCCCGGCAGGTGCTGCGGAAGTCGCTGAGCCTGGTGAAGGCCCATTGGAAGGAGAAGCAGGATTACGCCTTCGCCTGCGAGCAGATGAAGTCCATCCGGCAGGATCTGACGGTGAGGCGGGAATGGCGGGAGAAGCGGCGATTCCCGACAGCGGGAATGCCGGCATGCGCATAGTTCCCGAGGGAAATGCTGGGAAGTGGCGCTCGATACGGAGGGGGGAATTTGGTGGTTCCGGAGGGGGGAATGCCCAGAAAAGCAGCGATTCCCGAGAGCGGGAATGCCAGGATGCGHGATGATTCCCAAGGGGGATGCTGGGAAACGCGCTGGATCCATAGGGAGAAACACTGGGAAACACGTTGGTTCCATAGGGAAAAGCGCCACGAAGCCTGCGGGTTTCCTAGGAAAAAAAGTGCCGGGAAGTGCATGGATTCCATAGGGAATCCATGTGAAATCCGTGTGAAATCCATGAAAAAAGAGGCAGGAAGAAGTCTAGAGATTCCATAAGGAGAAATACTGGGGAGCGCACAGATTCCGTAAGGAAAAGTGCCAAGAAGTGCATGGATTTCATAGGGAAATGTGCCAGGAACCGCATGGATTCTATGGGGAGAAGTGCCAGGAAGAGCCCGGATACCCTAGGGAGAAGCGCCGGGAAGTGAATGGATTCCATAGGGAGAAATGCTAGGAAGTGCATGGATTCCATAGGGAAACGTGCCAGGAACCGCATGGATTCTGTAGGGGAAAGTGCCAGGAAGAAGCCCAGAGATTCCATAGGGAGAAGTGCTGGAAAGCACACAGATTTCATAGGGAGAAATACTGGGAAGCGCACGGATTCCGTAGGGAAAAGTGTCAGGAAGAGCCTGGATTCCATAGGGAAAAATGTCAGGAAGAAGCACATAGATTCCATAGGGAAAAGTGCTACAAAGCGCACGGATTCCATAGGGAGAAATACTGGGAAGCACATGGATTCCATAAGGAAGAAGGCCAGGAAGCACCTGGATTCCATAGAGAGGAGTGTCGGGAAGTGAATGGATTCCATAGTGAGAAGTGCTGGGAAGCACACGGATTGCATAGGGAGAAATGCCAGGAAGCCTATAGATTCCGTAGGGATAAATGGTGGGAAGTACACAGATTCCATAGGGAAAGGTGCTGGGAAGCTCATGGATTCCCTAGGGAAGTCACTTGAGAAGCGAGGCGGGAAGTGGCTGGTTGCATCGGAAGGGAGCTCGGAAGCGCAGGCTCCAGGCACATCCCGGCGTTCCCAGCGTTCCCGGTGTCAATCCCGCCATTCCCGTGCAGGTGCAGGGCGTCCGCACGGAATTCACGGTGGAAGTTTATGAGACCCACGCACGGATCGCGCTGGAGAAGGTGGGACATGGACACGGAACACGGGATGGGGACACGGGACACGGATGTGGATACAGGATGGGGACATGGGATGGGGACACAGGATACAGATGCGGATATGGGATGTTGACGTGGGATGGGGACACCGGACACGGGCTGGGGACATGAGACAGGGACATGGATACGGGATGAGGACACGGAACACGGATGTGGATATGGGATGTTGAGGTGGGATGGGCACACAGCCACGGGCTGGGGACACAGGACACGGACACGGACACGGCATGGGAACATGGGGCACAGGACATGGGATGGGGACACGGACACGGGATGGGGACATGGGACTGGGACGTGGATATGGGATGGGGACACAGGAGGAGAATGTGGGACACGGGATCGGGACTCCGGACACGGATATGGATACAGGATGGGGACACGGGATGGGGACGTGGGATACGGGATCAGGACACAGACATGGATATGGGATGGGGACAAGGACACGGGACATGGGATGGGAATGGAGACATGGGATGGGACATGGGACATGAGAATGGGGACATAGGATGGGAATGGGGACACAATGAGGACACGGGGCACGAATGGGGACATGGGATGGGGACACGGGACACGAGTGGGGACACAGGAGATGGGATAGGGATGTGGGACATGGGAGTGGAGACATGGGACACGAATGGGGGTGTGGGATGGGAATGGGGACGTGGGCTGAGGAACATGGGATGGGGACACGGGATGGGGACACGGGATGGGGACACGGGACGTGAATGGGGACATGAGACAGGGATGGGGCCATGGGACGGGGGCCATGGGGTGGGAATGGGGCCATGGGACCCTCCTGGGGATGCGGGCGCCCCCGCGGTGACGTCCCCGCGTCCCCAAGGGCGACCACGAGGAGTTCAACCAGTGCCAGGCGCAGCTCAAGTCGCTCTACGGGGACAACCTACCGGGCAACGTGGGCGAGTTCACGGCCTACCGCATCCTCTACTACATGTTCACGCGCAACTCGGGCGGTGCGTGCGTGCCCACGGTCCCCAAGGGTGCCCAGTGTCCCCAAAGGTCCCCAAGGGTCCCCAAGGGTCCCCAAAGGTCCTCAAGGGTCTTCCAGGGTCTCCAAAGGTCTTCAAGTGGCCCCCAAATGGGGGTGAGGTTAGGTGCTACTGCGTTCTCTACTACATGTTCGTGTGCAGCTCAGGTGGTGAGTGGGACCCGGTGTCCCCAAGGGTCCCCAAGGGACCCAGGTGTCCCCAGGTGTCGCCCTTGGTGTCATGGGGCTTGGTGACCGCYCCAAGTGTCCCCTGTGTTACGGACAGTCTCCGTGCGTCCCCCATGACGCGAGGGTCTTTCATGTCCATCTCCATGGTGTCGTTGGGTCTCGTTGGCCAACCCCATTTGTCCCCCATGACATGAGAGTCTTCAGTGTTGATCCCAACACGTCCCCAGTGACATGAGGTTCTCCCATGTCCATCCCCATGACGTCACTGGGTCTCATTGGCCAATCCCACGTGTCCCCACAGGTTCCTCAGTGACATGAGAGTCTTTGATGTCCATCTCCGAGATGTCATTGGGTTTCATTGGCAACCCTGCGTGTCCCCATGTGTCCCTCATGACACAGGGGTCTTGGATTTCCATTTCCAAGACGTCATTGGGTCTCGTTGGCCAACCCTATGTGTCTTCCATGACATGAGGCTCTTCCATGTCCCTCCCCATGTGTCCCCTGTGGTGKYGTTGGGTCTTGGTGGCCAACCCCCTGTGTCCCCATGACATGAAGGTCTTCTATGTCCATGACATGAGGGTCTTCCATGTCCATCCCCACATGTCCCCCATGACATGAGGGTCTTTGATGTTCATCCCAACGTGTCCCCCGTGACATGAGGCTCTCCCATGTCCATCCCTCTGTGTCCCCCATGATGTCGTTGGGTCTTGGTGGCCAACCCCATGTCTCCCTATGTGTCCCCCATGACATGAAGGTCTCCCATGGCCATCCCCACATTGTCTCCCCCCCATAGACATCACCACGGAGCTGGCCTTCCTGTCGCCGGAGCTGCGGGCCGACCCGTGCGTGGCCCACGCGCTGGCCCTGCGCGCCGCCTGGGCCCTCTCCAACTACCACCGCTTCTTCCGCCTCTACCGCTGCGCGCCCCGCATGGCCGGCCACCTCATCGACAAGTTCGTCGAGCGCGAGCGCCGCGCCGCCCTGCGCGCCATGATCAAGACGTATGTGGGGGACACGGCGGGGGGGACGGGGGATGGGGTGGGGGGCGCGTGATGCAGGTAAGGGGGACGGGGGGAAGGAGGAATTGCAGTGTTTGGGAGGGATTTCTGGAGGGTTCTGGAAGTTCTCGAAAAGGTTCTGGGGGGGTTTCTTGGGAATTTCTTGGAAGTTTATTGGAATTTATGGAAAATTATGGAAATTTGAGATGGTGCTGCAAGGTCCTAGGGGTTGTCTGTAGGTTCCGGGGTGGGTCTTCTTGGAAGTTTGTTGGGATTTCTGGATTTTTTTGGAAATTTGAGATGGTTCTGTGGGTTCTCTGTAGGTTTCTAGGGGTCTTCTCAGAAGTTTATTAGGATTTATGGAAAGTTTTGCAAATGTGAGGTCGTTCTGAAGGGTTCTGGGGGATCTCCGCAGGTTTCTGGGGCTGATCTTGGAAGTTTCTTGGGGTTTATGGATTTTTTTGGAAATTTGATGTGGTTGTGGGCAGTCTCGGGTTTCTGGGGGATTTCTTAGAAGTTTCKTGGGATTTGTGGAAAATTATGGAAATTTTAGGTCGTTCTGGAAGATTCTGGGGGGTCTCATTGGGTTTTGGGGGTTGTCTTGGAAGTTTATTGGAATTTAGGGATTTTTTTTTTTTTTGAAATTTGAGGTGGTTCTGTGGGTTCTCTGTAGGTCTCGGGGGGTTGTCTTGGAAGTTTTTTGAGATTTCTGGGGGATTCTGAAGTTCTTGAGAAATTCTGGGAGGTTCTGGGGGGGTCTCTGCAGATTTCTGGATGTCTTCTCAGAAGTTTATTGGGATTTCTGGAAAATCAGGAAATTTGAGGTGGTTTTGGGAGGTCTCTAGGTTTTTGGGGATTTCTTGGAAGCTTATTGGGATTTATGGGAAATTTGGGAAATTTGAGGTGGTTC